ATTTATTTATATATTATTTATTGTTGTGTTTGGACTCTAAACTTTTTATTTTTACTGATGAGAAAATAAAACAAGTTACGTGTTTCTTTTCTTCAGATGAGCTTGACTATGACATTACTGATGGATTCTATTTGGGTAAGACCCATTTTATATTAACATTGTTGTATATTTTAATCTCTAAATTTGTCTGTCCACAAATTTAACAGAAGGGAATCATTATTTTTGTGTGCATTGATGGAATTAACACTAGAAGTCCCAGGAATTTCGACCTCCCCCCAGAAGTCCTGAAAAAGGGTCAAAAGACCCTTAGCACTAGAGTGACTAGATTTTCAAGATCCTGAGGACAAACCCCCTCCTTCTCCTCAACAATTTGCGGGCCATTAACTGCCATTTGTTTTAAATATGCACACAAGTAACTCAGACACACCCACGTCACCAGACTGCATTCCAATGTCCAATCCAGGGAGCGGGGGATTTAGAAGCCAGGTTCACTTGCGCAAAAAAGCGCAGCCTTAGTCAAAGTAGTGCTCCAAACCGGACAACTCTGATGGCTCCAATTAGCATCCTTTCATTTGTAAATGTGGCCATTGCCTTAGGAATCAGCAGGGGAGAGATAAGCTGAACTCACACAAACGTCCGTCTAATATTCCAAACAGATGCGAAATCAACTGGTTATATTTTGAACTTATATCTCTTGGTGGCACGTTGGTGCACATTTTGAACAAATTGAAGTTGATATACCGTTTATTTTTCAATTGGTTTGGCTCATTTCTTGAAACCGAGATGACATTCTCAAAACACCATGTGAAACACAACTCAAGAGACTTTGCATTTTGAGGTTACTGACAATTTGTATGAAACACATATTTTGTTTTGAAGCATACATGAAGTGTTTTGGGAGAGATGCATTATCCAGGTCATTTTGCCAAATGAACAAAACAAAACAAAAGTTTGCAAAACATACAATCTGTTTCAAGATATATGCAAAAGTTTTTCTAAAAGATTTTAGTAATGTTTTTCTTTCAGAAAAAAGAGAAGTGGGTTCAAAATGACAGTTTAGAAAAAAATAACCAAATTAATTGTGAGAAGAAGGCACGCAAGGAGAAACTGCTTCAGCAACAACCTTCCACACCCAGCCCTGGCAAAAGGGCAAAGTGTCAGATCAAACATCGATGCACGAACAATTGTGCAACTGTGAGATGCATCAACTGCTACAAATACACATGTGGCAAATGTACCAGGGACATACCCTGGCAGTGCCAGGTATGTTTCGACAGTGCAGATGGACTGTATGTGTAAATATGTTACACATTAAATATGTGTAGAATTGTTTTATCCCTGGTATTTTTATGACAAAAATAAAAAGCATGGAAACAAATAACGGTTGTTGTTTTTTATATTTCTCATGCTGAAGTTTTAGTCCTCTTGACTTACACACAATTGCTTATGGTCTGTGCTTTTTTGCTCAAAACTAAGCTAAATACTATATATATCAAAGCAAAATATGTGTTTCATACAAATTGTCAGTAACCTCAAAATGCAAAGTCTCTTGAGTTGTGTTTCACATGGTGTTTTGAGAATGTCATCTCGGTTTCAAGAAATGAGCCAAACCAATTGAAAAATAAACGGTAAATCGACTTCAATTTGTTCAAAATGTGCAACAACGTGCCACCAATATATATATAAAAAATCTTCATATTATAAAATACAATAAACTGAATATAACTAACTAGAAACTAAATGGCTAAACTCAATGGAAAACAGTTAGTTGGGAGTTAAGCGTGCCCCCTCCTGTGGTGCACCAGTAATGGCCTTATTTACAAAACAAAAGCGCCTGTTAACAGCTTATTATAGGATGTTAGCTAAAATCCTTCAGGTCACTCGACCCGTCTCTGGGTTCCAAAGGTAGAAATGTTAAATGACCCTTCTCTGGGACTTCTAGTGTTAAATATTTAGACTGGACATTTTATACATTTTACAGTAGGTTTCTGTGATAGGATTATGAAGAGCTAAAATCTTGTTTTTTGCATATAGCTCTTTGAACCCTATTATTTTGGAGAAGAATTCTATAAAAGAAAGAAAGAAAAATAAAACTAATGAGCTAACAGCTCGTTCAAATATAGCCAGAACAAAGTGGATTACTTTCATTTTAAAACAGCTCAAATTTCCTAAATTTCAGAGAGGTTAATCCAGACATAATTTCAGTCACTTTTGCAAATGAGTCCCCGAGGTTCGATGGGATTAACCTGTCTAAATAAAGTGTGGTAGTTTGGTCTAGTTACGTGTATATATTTAAAATAATATTGTTGACCATTATCAGCTGGTTTCAGTCGGAGTTTCCGTCTCTGGAGGAGGACGTCTTACAAGAAAAGACGTCAATCCTGCACGTCCTGCTCTCCTGTCAACAACGCTCTGTCCTCCCCCTACGAGGAGGTGGCTTTGTACCAGCGTCTCCCGCAAGAAAACCAGCGCCTGATCATTCTGATTGGTGAGAGAAAGGAAATAGGTATAATACAAAAATTGCTTTAAAATGAACAAATCATTCACATTTAAGTAAATCATACAAAATAATTTGTCTCAAGCATGAGAAAAATGAGAAGAAATTAACAAATTTAAAGCTAACGCCACATAAGTGCTCCACTCAATTTAAGACCTATGTTGCTCCAAATAAACCCACCTTTCAAGTTCTACTATAAGTAAATCCAAGTAATGATCCATTTTATTTCAAATTATTCCAGTAGAGTTTAACGTGGGTGATGCCAACTAATAAAATGCAGTACATCCAGAAAAAAACAAGTAAATAAATGAATGGTCCAATTCAATTACCTGTTTTGATTATGGATGGGTCAGCAGGTAACAACAGAGACGAGATTTCCAAAGGAAAAGGATACAGATGACGTGATGCATGCTCAATAATCCAGGTAGAAAAATCTAAAAAAGTTATATCTGGTCCTCTGGACATTGAAAAAAACTAAACAAAGCAAAACAACAAAAAATGTAGAAACGTTTCATCTTTCATCCAAAAGACTTCCTCAGTCTGAGGTGCTGTATTCAGCTCAGTCTCTTAAATAGCACCTTCTCAGAGTGGATCAACCAGTTTGCTGCTGACAACCAAAACCAGCTGATCACATGATCAAGAAGGACCATGAGCCTAACGATGGATTATTAGCACACTGATGGCTGTTTACTATTCACAGAGGGCTGAGTGATACTAGCAATAGCAGCATTGTAAGAGGGGGACAGTTGGACTCGGAGGCCTCCACCCCTGTTTAATGATGGACAATTTCTTTTCACAAAGATGGCCTCCTTTACTTCTCTCTCAAACCATTGTTCCTCTCTATCCAGGATGTGAACATCTTCATCCCTGAATGAGTGACCGCTGGCCTGGAGATGAGTGTAGACCGCAGAGTCCTGGCCTGATGATGTTGATCTTCTGTGCTGGTCCATCCTTTTGGCCAGTGGCTTAGTTTCCCCTATGTAAGACTGATCACCCTCCTGACACTGAACAGCATACACAATATTACTCTGTTTGTGCCGGGGGACTGGATCTTTGGTATGAACCAGTCTTTGCCGTAATGTATTTTGGGGTTTAAAAGCCACTGGGACGTTGTGTTTAGAAAATAAACGTCTCTGTTTCTCTGATACTCCCTCAACATATGGAATGACCACTGGTCTGGGTCTGGGTTCCTCCTTTTCACCTGTTGGCTGACTGGAGTCCTGTTTGGGTTTCTTCTCTGCTTTTAGGAAGGCCCAGTTAGGATATCCACATTGCTCTAGAGCCTGTCTTGTGTGGGATTTCTCCTTCTACCTGGCTCCTGAGATAGTGGGGACGCTGTCTGCTCTGTGGTACAGAGTCCTGATGACTCCTAACTTGTGCTCCAAAGGGTGATGGGAGTCAAACTGCAAATACTGGTCTGTGTGGGTGGGTTTGTGGTACACCTCAGTTTGCAAATGTCCTCTATCAGAGACTGAGACCTCACAGTCCAAGAAAGCCAACCTGCCATTTTTTTACATCTTCTCATGTGAACTTGATGTATTTATCCACAGAGTTGATGTGGTCAGTAAAATGTTGGACTTCCTGAGATTTAATTTTAACCCAGGTGTCATCAACATACCTGAACCAATGACTTGGTGGTGTCCCTGAAAAGGATGTCAAGGCTCTCTTTTCTACCTCCTCCATGTACAGGTTGGCAACAATAGGAGAAACTGGAGACCCCATAGCACACCCATGTTTCTGCCTATAATATTGCTCCCCATATGTGAAGTAGGTTGACTACAGGCACAGTTTCAAGAGTTGACACAGTTGTTCTGTGGAAAGCGTGGTCCTGCTGCTCAGAGTGGTGTCTGATTTTAATCTTAAACTGACCACCTCTACTGCATCATCAACAGGAATGCACGTAAAGAGTGATGTGACATCAAAAGAGACCATTGTTTCATCAGTCTCCATGATGACATCCCTCACCTTGTCCACAAAGTCCATGGTGTTCTGTATGTGGTGTTCTGAGCTGCCAACTAAAGGGATGAGTACAGACGCCAGATATTTGGAAACAT